CTTACCTGAACGCCTTTTCTCAGTACGGAGATGGAGAATTCACACCCACCCCTTAAGGTCAGTCAGACTATTGTTGGGGTCTGAGAGCCAACACCTCGTCCATCTTCAGTCACTTCGCCCTCGTTAAAGACTGGATCAGCAAGAGGGGGCGTGTCAAGTTTGACTACTTGGTCTCAAGAGCAGGCATCCAATGAAAACCACATGTGAATTCTCCATCTCCGTACTGAGAAAAGGCGTTCAGGTAAGACAACGCCCCTTTTGTTTTAATTTTCAGCTATGCATTCAGTGTCATATGAAAAGCTTATGTTTTTCTTGGCTAAATAATTTTGCATATGCTTATTGCCTTTTGGATAACTGTATAACCTGCTTGCTCTGTGCATTGTTTTTGTCTTTATTGGTGCATTGTTTTTTTTATCTCCGTTGCTACCTGCTGCTAATTTGGGGGCTCTCCACAGCAACATACTATACATGTAGTGGTAAGTTCCTTTAGCTGGTTCCTTTAGCTGGATTCAGCTAGTCAAATTGTCTTTATTGCATTTGGGTGACTAACATGCTCATAATAGGAAAGTTCGCATTCAGTCTGAATGAATTAATACATATTTAAGTTTAGTAATCATGTAACTTGGTGTACTCCATAATATTTTTTTTACATAAAACCAAAATTGTTCAGTGTAAGACCCTATAAATGTACTGTGTGGTCACAATCTTTGATGAACTTAAGCATTGTTAAGAACAGTTGGTAGGATTAGCCTGGACAAGTATGTTGTGGGCTTCCGCTGTCTATGATTCTTTGACACATTTTAGTCCTCTTGAACTATAGATTGCCTATAAATACAATACTCCCTGTCCACAATTTTGCCACTTAAATATTTCTTTCCCTGTTAAAAACCATGTCCTTTTAAATAGCATTGCTGTATAAAAACTTTAATATAGATTTTATCTGATATGCCAGATAAATGAAATATATTTTCCTTTCCGTTAAACTAAAACAATAAGCCACCCACCAAAGCTTTACAAAATAATAGGTGAGCTAGAGAGGCAAAATAATATCAAAAAGTATTTAGCAATTTTACTTATGGTATAGGGCTAAACCTTCTATCCTTACTTTGAAGATAACAACTTTGTTATGTATATGTGGGGATGTGGGTCTATACATATGTTGTGTATAGTATGTTTAGGTGTGTGTCATGTATGTGTTTCACTTTGAGAGCGGGCAACTAAATTTCATTTTTAATGTGTGCCGTTGTGCCCACAGTAAAAAAAATGACAATAAAGGTTATCTTATCTTATCTTACCTAACTATTAAGAGTGGCAGGGAGATAAGTAAAATAATTCAAACCACCTGATCAGTAAAATTGCCATATAAATTGTGCTTTTAACATTGGATTCAGTGAAGTATAGCAATTATTATACTTCTCTGAGAATTTGCATGACCTCTTGAACATGGAGAAATTTAGTTTCATTTTAGATTTCACTTTTTAGTGCATTGGTCTGGCACTAATGGGAAAAGAACTGTTTCAGTTGTTTTCTGTATGCAGAGGAACACTTTTGAATTTAGCCTACTTTTCTTTATAAATTAACAACCTTCAGTTTTAATATCTGCTGTCACAACTCAGAATGTCAATCAATTTGTTGGCAAGTACTTCAGCTGACTGTTGTTAACTCAAGTAGGGTATAATGGTGTGATTTCATACCATTATAGTCATTATATATTTGTCATTTCTATATTTTCTTTAGGTCTATTGCAGTAGGGGGCATTTGGCCACAAAAGTACTTTTCCTCCTAGAATGTAAACTATGTTGTAAGTTGCCCAGAGTCGTTGGATACGAGATAGGCAGCAAATAAATTAAATAAATAAATAAATATTTATGTTCCGAGCTAGAAGACTTAATCATCAAGTGAAATTTAAATGAAAGCACTAAATCACTTTAAGTAGAATAAGCAGTGATTGAAGGGCTTGTTCCTTTTTTTGCTTTTGTATGTTTGCTTTTTGTTAGTCAAATTATCAAAACTTTATCTGAACAGAGAAAACTTCCAAATTTGCTTTTCTTGTAATTGATACATCTTGTTTTTAAGCTGCCCCAAACCCCAAGATGGTATGTTTTCGTTTACCAACTCACTTCTTGCTGTTGACAGGTAAT